ATACAACTGACTTATTTGGCAACGTAGCTCGGAAAGCGTGCTGACAGCTTCGTCTTGATACTCCACTATAATTATTCGACGTAACGCGTTAGAATCATAGGACAAGGGAAGGGACAGAAGAGAGCACTTACTTCCAACAAAATTTTATTTCGAGGAGCGTACATATATATGCTCACGAAATCCGAATACAACAGACAAACAGATGAACAACCCTCTATTGCCATGCGCTAAAAACTCATGATCTCAAAAACGGCAATTATTTATCACAAAGACCGAAAGAAGGAGTGCTGACGCAGTTCACCCCTGATCTACTAATCATTTCTGCTTCAATAATCTCCCTTGTCATTTTATTTCTGTTTTTTCCTATGATTACCGTACCATGAAAAAGGAGTTTGCAGCCACACGTGCTGCAATGTAGTACCAAAAAACCATCTCTACCCTTCTTTTACGTTGCAGGCGTGTTCGCGGAGCCGGTTATTAATACACCTGCCAGTTTGTCCTATGTAGTGTTTACCGCATGAAAGAGGTATCTGATAAATTACAAATTGCGCGCATGTGACAAACAGTGTTAAGTGCTTTTTAGAGCATCCCGGTTTGGCATGTGAAACAACTTTCATACACAAGTACGACAGCTTTTTGGGGCAGAAAACACCACCTTTACAATGGCCCGCTCCCCAATCTTTTTCAAGTTGTGGGAGATTCCATGCAGATAAGGCACTACGGCAAGCTTCTGACGTCTCAACATGAGGGACAGTTTGCTGCAAGCACTGAAGCTTCTTGACCAGAATTCCCGCGACGGAAACCTGTACGTGAGAGGGGTAGCCAGCGTCCAGAAGTCGTTCTGCTTGTTCCTTGAAACTAGCTGCCATCAGATGTGGACAAGACTTCTGTAAGGCGTTAATAAAGCACATGTTTACAATGCCTCGTTTTACAAGCTTAGTATGGGCGGAGTGGTACGGAAGCAAGGGTTTGTTACTCCTCGGTTTGTACGTCCAACAAATGTGGTCTAGGTGAAAAATGAGAGTGATATCTAAAAATCTGAGAGTGTTATTAACAGGCAACTCGTGGGTTAAAACAAGGGGACTAAACCACTCCTTGATGAAGTTGAGGATATCTAGGGCACAAAAAGTGGGGTCACAGTCAAGAAGAATGAGGAGGTCGTCAACAAATCTAAAGATGCGCATGATTCGGTTGTCACTAAGGTCACCGGAAACGGTTCTGTCGGGCTTGGCTAAAAACAAATTACTTAAAATTGGAGCAATACATGATCCAATACAAATGCCCTTCTTTTGAAGGTGGGACTTCCCGTTCCATTGAATAAAAGTAGATTGCAAAAAAAAGGATAAAAGTTCTAAAAAGCTACTAGGCAATATACCAGCACTATTATGAAATGTTATGCTACCAAGCTTGTCAGTGTACTCTTCTACACAACTAAGAATCGATTTGTGAGGCAACGAATAATACAGATCTTTTACATCAATGGAAAAACCACACATGTGCTGATTAGAACGGGATCGGACGAAATCAAGAAAAGGTGGTGTTTTCGGCCCCAAAAAGCTCTCGTACTTGTGTATGAAAGTTGTTTCACATGCGAAACCGGGATGCTCTAAAAAGCACTTAACACTGTTTGTCACATGCGCGCAATTTGTAATCTATCAGATACCTCTTTCATGCGGTAAACACTACATAGGACAAACTGGCAGGTGTATTAATGACCGGCTCCGCGAACACGCCTGCAACGTAAAAAATGGTCGAGATGGTTTTTTGGCACTACATTGCAGCACGTGTGGCTGCAAACCACTTTTTCATGGTACGGTAATCATAGGAAAAAACAGAAATAAAGTGACAAGGGAGATTATTGAAGCAGAAATGATTAGTAGATTAGGGCTGAACTGCGTCAGCACTCCTTCTCTCGGTCTTTGAGATAAAGAATTGTCGTTTTTGAGATCATAAGTTTTTAGCGCATGGCAATAGAGGGTTTTTCATCTGTTTGTCTGTTGTATTCGGATTTCATGAACATATATATGTACGCTCCTCGCAATAAAGTTTTGTTGGAAGTAAGCGCTCCCTTCTGTCCCTTCCCTTGTCCTATGATTCTAACGCCCTACGTCGATTAAGTATGTCTTACCAACATGCCCAACTTTATACCCTACTCCACTATAGCCGTAAACTGCTTCTAGATTTGTTCTGTTGGGATATACTGCTCGTATTACTCATTTATCTGGGACAAATCGTGGGTACAGCTTCTCGATGTCGACGCTAGCAGTGACAAGCAAGATCCGCCCTTCCTTAATTATCTTCGAGTTTTGCGTGTGTCGTGCAGATCGCTTGCCTTTCAGACGATTCATTGAGAGAGAACCGCTGCTGGCTGATGTCGTTGCACCAACGCCGGCCGATCTTCCCATCCGCGATTTGTCGAGCCCTCACCGCTCGTGACGCAAAGCGAGGGTAGAAGCCCTCTGTACCATGCACACAGCGAAGAATCAACGAGCTCACATTTCAACTCTCGGCGTTCAGGCAAGGCTTGTCCACACGTGGGTTTTTGGCACGAAAATATGTGTACACTAGTAGGTTGACTGGCGTCGAAGAACTCGGCTAGTAGCAACCGTCGCCGCGATCGAACGTGATCTACTGCTTTTTGCCTGCACTGGCTGGCTGTGTTTATTATATTTTCAACACACCTAATCGAAACGTGGAAGGCCAAGCTCATTCTCGAGGACAAAGAGGACTAGTGAAAACTCGTCACAAAGGCCCAGAGGGCAGTTTAGGCCAGAGCTTTCCAGGACTAGGGAACCCTCCTACCTTAGGGTGATACCGGGCGTCGCTTGGGACGCTGTTTCAAAATTAACGTTCATTTATATCTTCGTTTTAATTGGCACTCTGTCTGTTCTTCAAATATGATCATTCGGCCCGCTCTTTGTTTCTCATAACCCACACTACCATTTGTCAAGCTCTTGCTATAGTGTACTATACAAAGCTATTCTACACTCTGATATCGCGCGTGCATGTTGCAAAGAAACACATAGCCAATAATGTCCTCAACATCCCACTTCATTATGGTGTTTTGTTCACTTAGCTTGGAGATATATAAGTGCAAATAAAAAGTCACTTAAAATAGTAATTACATTGGTGAGGTGCTTGTATATCGATCGTTACCATCGTTGTAGTGTATGAATAAAAAATGCCGTTACTTCATATATTCGCTCAAGAGTGAATGCTGATTTTTTAGTGCTTTGTGTTGATCGTTGGGCCGCAATACCAACAGAATGAACATATCAGTTCAAAGTATCGTGCATATGATAAATATATACAAAAAAAACAAACAAACTGGATAGCTCAGTAGTTACGGCATTCGCCTTCGGGTCATTAACAGGTGGTTTCGAATATCACCTCATGAGAATTTTTCAGCCAAGATCTTTGGTCTGTGTCTTTATATATCTCTTTCATTTGCTCTCTCTTTACTCGTTGTCACGCCCATCGGAGTCATCAGATGCCATGCCGGACAAATCAGTGGACATGTTTTGAGAGTGAAGCACAATAGGATGAAAAGATGTTGTGTACTGGTCGACGATGTTATTTTTTTCTATAACAGGCGGCAAACCTTGGCATAGCAGTTCTGTTGTAAAAATGAACTGTTCTTTGCCCACGCGGCAAGTCTCAGCATCAAACGCTTCTCTACGGCTCCAGCAGTCGCCTTGAAGTGGAATCCAGGATCAGGCATAGTCAGGTGTACGACGCGGTCAGCCATCCGCTCTGCGGGATCGATTCCCAGCTGCGGCGGCTGCATTTCCGATGGAGGCGGAAATGTTGTAGGCCCGTGTACTCAGATTTGGGTGCACGTTAAAAAACCCCAGGTGGTCAAAATTTGCGGAGCCCTCCACTACGGCGTCTCTCATAATCAAATGGTGGTTTTGGGACGCTAAACCCCACAAATCAATCAATCAGCCTTCCGCTCTGTTATGCCTGCTCTGCGTGCGCGCGCCTGTTGAATGCAGTGGAACGTTTACAGAGCAAACGCCGTTTCTCCTGTCGTTGTACCGTAGACGTAACGCTACGATTCCGTCGATTGTGAATAGGACGGTGGAGTTTCCTCGTTCGTCCCACAAGAAACTTTTTCCTGAAACGTCGTTTCGATACATCACTGGGAGGTGGCATACCGGGCCTGTGCCCCTGCACCTCCCGCCCCTCCTTGTTTTTTCGCCATGGAACACAAAGTGCAAAATGGCTATTTGCCTTCCCGGCCTCAATTTCAGATCAACGATGTGCCCGTCACTGAAAAAAAACTTTGGGCCTATGCCCCTGGTCTATGACTCTAAGCCTTGCTCTGAGTACTACAGTTTGCAGAAAGTATGATAGCAATACTTCTTTGCAGACTAGTTGGTTCATACTTGAAAAGCTTGACATGCTGCGCAAGCTGAAGTTGAAGGAGAAGGCAGATATGAAAGAGTGCAGATTACCAACTGTTATTGGTCGTTTCATAAAACCAATATAGAGGCAAGCCAAACTGCGCTACCACAGTGCACACAAAACAGGTTTCCATTGCAGAGGATGCAAACAAGGTTGCGAATAAACACTTCAAATGCATCAAACACCACAAGCTAAACTTCGTAAGCAAGGCTGCCTAATTACAAAATGTACACTTCTATTTTACATATTTCTTTTTGTCGTTAAATTTCATGAAGCCTCTTCATTGACGTGAACACATGAAAAGGTACTAAATAAACGTTTTTAAAAACCTTTGAGAAGCCGTTTACACTGACAAAAACAATAAAACAATATTGAGGCCACCCTATGCTAGCAACACTTCAGTAAAAACGATCCAGCGCTACGCGAGAAAGTCAAAAACATAAAACTATGTAAAAAATTCCTAAGCATTGCATGAAAAGTAAAACGGGAGAAACAAGTGCACTGTCATCAAAAGGTCAACGAAAGGAGAAGAAAACTTTGCGAGGTCTTACCCACCCCATTAAACATGGCCATGTAAGAAGACTAACTCGCAGTCCGATAAAGAAATTTAATTATTTATTTATTTTGAATACCTAAAATGCCCCAGTTGGGGTATTTAATGAGGGATGGGTGATAATTACAGCAGAAAAAGTGACTTGAGGGCAATCTTGGAATTATGGAGGGTTGGAGGGGTAGACGGTAGATGCAGGCAGATGGTTCAAGTCTAGTGCGGTTGGCACTTAAAGGGAGCGAAGATGGGCAGTGGTTTGTGCTGGCGGAGGCTGTACTGTTCTTGAATGGTTTGTGCAGCTGGACGTCGGATTAACTGGCAGGAAGGCTGAAATTTAGATGGGAGCATTATAGAACTTCTAAAAAAAGCCATAATCGAGTATGAGACATCGTTATTCTAGATCAGAAAGGTAAGCCCGGGTTCTAAGTTTGGAAATACTGAAATTATACGAATATTCAGAGTAGATTAAGCGTGCAGCACGCTTTTGGATCGATGACGTTGGGTAAGTTAGATTGATTAGAATTCCTGGTAGAGCATGCATATTCAGAAACCCCAGAGTGCGATTCGCGGAGTTGACTATGTTAGTAATGGGGGATGACTCAGAAATGTTACTGCAGAATTTGATGACAAGGTGTTTGTTGCCCTCACCGGATGAGATTGCGGCGCCGGACGTGGTATAATCTGCTGACTGGTGACGGGGCCTGCGATAAAAAGATAAGAATGAAGTTTTTTTTACGTTGAGAGACAGTAACCACTTATTATGCCACGATAATATTTCGTTGAGCTAGCTTTGTAAACTAATGTTTGGACTGTTTGCTATGAGATGGTGTACGACTCAGTTGTCCGCAAAGAGGTGAATGCTAGAAGAGATGTTTGATCAAAGGTCCTCGATAAAAATCAGAAAAAGTAAAGAGCCGAGCATTGTACCTAGTGGAACACCAGAGAAAAGAGGAACGGCTAGGTGAGCAACAGTTAGCATGCACAAACTGTTGGCGATTGGTAACAAAGCTTTGAATCCAATCAAATACATTTGCATTAGGTTTAAACGAGTAAGCTTTAGCAGTAGCCGGGTATGTGGAAGCTCGTCGAAGGTTTGTTCGAAGCCAAAGAGGAGGGCGTCAACAGGTATGTGTAAATCGAAGTTCAAACTGATATCTTTATAAAGTAGAGGTAGTTTTGTTTCACATAAAAATTCTGAGCGAAACTCGGGCTGGCCAAATTGAAAAAGTGATTGCTGCCTAATAACTTGACAATGTTAGAATACATCACATGCTCCATTATCTTGGAGCAAATGCTAGTAAGAGAAATGGGGCGATAGCTGCTGCAAAGAGATGAAGGACCTTTTTTGGGGAGTGGAACCATCTTGCCCACTTTTCATTCTTCCGGCACCACTACCCAGGACAATGACTGCTGTAAGTTTGCCAAAGTAGCGTACAAGCAATGAGTGTCGTGTTTTTGAGAATTTATACGTTGATACTGTCGATGCCGCATCAAGATGAGATTTTAAGAGAGTCTATTGGCTTAGCGAGTTTGGGCAGAATGTTTAATTGTCAGGCATCAAACTATGGTGGTAAATAAAAGAAGGCAAGTAGTCGACAAGTTCAGCGGTAAATACGGAAGAAAAAAGCTCAGGTTGAGTTGTTCAGTGGCCTCATGATCAGTAATTGGTTGCGATCGTTCGACAGTGCTAACAGTTGCGAGTTGCTGCGGTTAATTGTGTTCCAGAATTTTGCGAGGTTGTTGCTAAACATAGCGGGTAATGTTTGTGAAAAAAAGTTTTTTTTGTCAGCAAGTCTATCGAACTCTTTTTCAACAGCTTAGTAGCTTTCCATGCGCACGCGCTATTGAACCGCTTTGCTGATCGGGATAGTCAATTCTTTATACAATTTAGGCGTTTATTGCGGTGTTAAACCAAGGGGATCACTTTTGCTCGTTACAGTAATTTTGAGCACATGCTTAGTGAACAGATCTAGCACTATCTGTTCGACCTGTAGTGAATTCGCTTCAAGCAAACGCTTTGAAAGGCCCGTAAGAACAAAATTTGCAGATTTCACGTTCAGTGGGAATCGATGATATGCGAAGCACGAATGGTAAATGTTGATATGTCACTTCAAATTTAGCAAAACGTTACGAAGTGGTGGTAAGTGATGCCGTAGATGACTTCCGTGTCATAATTATCATGTTTGGATGTGTCGTTTACCTTCGTCATCTATTCACGTCACGTGATACCAAATTTAGTATGTGTAGAGCTAGAGAAACGGCCGCGAGCATGCTATGATCGTGGTATGTTGTCATGTTCTTACATGACACGCGTGTCAGGAATATCTTGTTTGAACCTGTCATATATTTCAACTTCCATTGATGTCACGAAACACCAAATTTGGTATATTTGGTATACGAACGCAAGACAGCGTAGCCCCGACCACCAGCGAGTTGATCCTGGGGAGCTGACACCTGTGCATCAGAGGACCAGTCGCCGTCTTCGAGGTGATTCACCAGAATTCAGTCCACTCCACTTCACGCCAAGGGGAACTCAGTCAATGGACGCCGCCACCATGACAAGTCATGTAACACCAGCCCAAGTGGTGATAAATCAGCCTCACCAGCCACCAGTATTTCATGGCGACTCGTATAAAGACGTAGAAGACTGGCTGAACCTCTTTGAGAGAGTGGCACGTTTTAACGGTTGGGACGAGAGAGAGATGCTCCGCCGCGTATACTTTGCTTTGGAGGACTTCGCAAAGACGTGGTATGAGAACCATGAAACCTCTTTTACGACCTGGGATGAATTTTGGCGACAAGCTCTGGCGACTTATGCCAGCGCGAATTGCAAAGAAAAGGCGCAGAGTGCGCTCGAATCCAGGAACCAACTCACCAACGAAAGTGTCGCAATGTATATCGAGGACATGATCCACCTGTTCGAGCGCGCAGATTATCATATTGTAACGAATGTAGCAGCCTCACAACAACTATGTTCTACTTACATGGTTTATTGAGGGCGAACTTGTGCCCAAAGTGAACGACGCACAGCAATCAAGAAGATCCAAGGGCAGTAGTCCTCGTGAGCCTCTGTTTCGAGCACCCTCGTTCTCTTCTTCTTCACGCGCGTTGGCTGTTCGGCGAACTACCGGGCGCATGCAGGGCCGGCTCGTGCATTGCAGCTGGCTTCGTCGCTCGTAGTCGTGCCGTTAGCGTTTCTCTGGTTCCCAACGTCCGTGTTGCGCGGAGCAATGGTAATTTTCTGTGGCATTATCCCCCTCTCAAGAGACATCGCCCCGATGCTTTCCATGATAATGTATGCAGCGTTTCCGTCTCGGAAGGTTTGTAAGAGGGAAATGGTTGTACAGCAAGCAAGTGGGGTGGCTAGTCTTCGTACCGGTCGTTGTACGGTTTCATGCGCACAATGTGTACACGCTCGGTGGGATTGCGTCGTTTAGAATGCCCATGTCCTGTAGGCTTGACTTCATAAACGAGGTCGCTGAGTCGCTGTACTACCTCGTAAGGACCGAAATATCGACAAATGAGTTTTTCAGACAGGCCTCGTCGTCGTACTGGGGTCCATATCCACACTTTTTCACCGACTTCATACCGTGTTTCACGTCTTCCTCGGTTGTAGCGGTCGGCAACGATTCGTTGTTGGTGACATATTTGGTACCTTGCTAATTGGCGGGCCTCCTCCGCTCTCTATATATAGTCATCGAGATCAGAAGGGTAGTCATCTTGATCTATAGGTAACATAGCGTAGAGTGTTGTGGTAACTACACGACCGTAAACTAGTTGAAACGGGATAATCTTGGTAGTCTCTTGTACGGCGGTGTTATCGGCGAAGGTGACGTAGGCTAAAGTTTCGTCCCACTTTTTGCGTTCGACGTCCTCATACATAGATATCATGTCAGCTAGAGTTCTGTTAAGGCGTTCAGTCAGGCCGTTGCTTAGAGGGTGATATGCGGTAGTTTTCCTGTGAACAGTGTGGGTCATGTTCAGCAGGCATTCCATGAGTTCCGCCGTGAAAGCCGGTCCGCGATCGGTGATTACAACAGTTGGAGAGCCATGCCGTAGCAGTATGCTCAGTACAAAGAATTCGGCGACATCAGCTGCCGTTCCTCGATGCAAGGAGTCTGTTTCCGCGTATCTCGTTCAAAAATCAGTCGCTACAACGATCCACTTCTTGCCAAGTAAAGATGTCGGGAATGGTCCAAGAAGGTCCATTACAGCTTGTTGGAAGGGTGCTTTCGGTGGGTCTATCGGGTGCAGAAGGCCCGCTGGCTTAGCACGATGCGCTTTCCGTCATTGGCACTCGCGGCATGTTCTGACATAGCGCTGTACTGAAGACAATAGCTTGGGCCAATAATAGTGCTGACTGATTCGTGCAAGCGTTCGAATGACCCCCAAATGTCCAGACGTAGGCTCATCGTGGCACGCTTGTAATATTTCTTGTCGCATAGTTGCGGGAACGACCAGCAGAAACTTTTCACGGTTGGGCTTAAAGTTTCTTTTGTAGAGGACATTTCCTCGGAGGCAGAACAATGCGAGGCTTCGAGAAAATATACGAGGTACTTGTACGTCAGCTCCTTTTAGGTGTTTGTAGAGCGGGAGCAATTCTTCGTCCGCATGTTGAATTTAAGCCATCCGAGCAGTCTCGACAACAGCCACGAATGGAAAGTCCTCTTCATCTGATAGTGCTGTGTCTGTAGGTGCCCGTGACAAACAGTAGGCGTCGGTTTGCTTCCTGCCAGATCGGTATACCACAGTTATGTCAAATTCTGGCAGTCTGAGGCTCCACCTTCTTAGTCGTCCGGACGGGTCCTTGAGGTTGGCGAGCCAGCAAAGGGCATGGTAATCGCCGACTGCCTTGAATGTTCTACCATACATGTAAGGCCGAAACTTACTGATGGCCCAGATGACGGCACGACATTCTTTCTCTGTGGCCGAATAATTGGTCTCCGCCTTTGTTAGAGCCCGGCTGGCGTATGCTATCACCTTTTCTTCGCCATTCTGCTACTGTATTAGGATGCATCCTAGGCCGATGTTGCTGGCGTCTGTGTGTATTTCGTATCAGCTGTTTCATCGAAATGAGAAAGTATTGGGGGCTCTTGCAACCGTTTTCTTAATTCGTTGAAGGCGCTTTGTTGCTCTGTTTCCCACTGGAGAGGTACATCTTCTCTCATAAGTTTCGTCAAGGGTTCTTCAATCTGCGAGAAATTTCTGACAAATCTTCGGTAGTAAGCACAGAGACCTAGGAATCTCCGTACTGACTTTCCGTCTGCTGGCACCGGGAACCTTGTAACGGCGGCTGCCTTTTCGGGGTCAGGGCGCACACCGTGGGTGCTGACAACGTGCCCAAGGAATCGAAGCTCTTCGAAACCGAATTGGCACTTCTCTGGCTTGATGGTTAAATCTGCCGAACGGATTGTTTCTAACACTGTTCGCAGGTGCTTGATATGCTCCTCGAATGTAGCGGCGAAGATGACCACGTCGTCAAGGTACACAACGCAACACTGCCACTTCAATCCGGAAAGTACAGTGTCCATCATGCGTTGGAACGTTGCCGGCGCACAACAGAGACCAAAAGGAAGAGCCTTGAATTCATAGAGTCCTCCGTGGTAACAAAAGCAGTCTTCTCGCGATCACGTTCATCAACTTCGAACTGCCAGTATCCACTTTTCAGATCTAGTGATGAAAAGAACTTGGCACACCGAAGTCTGTCTATTGTGTCGTCAATACGCGGGAGGGGATATACATCCCGTTAAGTCACAGCATTTTTTTCCGGTAGTCGACGCAAAACCTTAGCGTGTTATCTTTCTTCTTGACAAGTACTACAGGAGATGCCCACGGACTACTAGAAGGTTGAATAACATTATCTTCAAGCATCTCCTGTACTTGATTCTTGATGACTTTCCTTTCTTTCGGTGAAGCGCGGTACGGGTGCTGGCGTACCGGTCTGGTTGTCTCGTCTGTTACGATCCTGTGTTTTGCAATGGTTGTGCGTCGTACCTTTGAACTATTGGAGGAACAGCTGACGAATTCCCGTACAAGATCGGATAGCTGTAGACGTTGGATCACTGAAAGATTGGGATTTACGGATATTACGTCGCAGACATCAGATGTTGGTTTCATATTCGTTGACGTTGTTTCAAGGCTGCATATTTCTGTGGCTTCACAAACCTCGTGAAGAAAAGTTATGGCTGTACCTTTGCAATGTGCTGCAATTCGTTCCCGAAATTTGTCAGGAGGAGATCTGCATACCCGTTTCGTAGCTGGTTAATCCCTCGTGCCACACAAACACCTCTTTTCAGGAAAACATCCATGTTGCTGTCTGCCACTCCTTCGTAGTCACCAAACGTATCATTTCTGACTAAAACCATTACACTGCTCTGCTGCGGTACAGTCACATCATCATCGACGATGCGCAGTGGAGTGGACAGTAGGCGTCGGTATGCTTCCTGCCAGATCGGTATACCACAGTCATGTCAAATTCTGGCAGTCTGAGGCTCCACCTTCTTAGTCGTACGGCTCGTCTGCTCGAGCTACCTTTAGAGCTTGTTCCGTCGAAAATGATACGCTGGACCTCTGCAAATTAATAATGGCACCATTTACTTGCAGGAAATCCATTCCGAGTATAACTTCTCTCGAACATACGGGCATGACAACAAAGTCACCAAGGTAAGTGAAACCTCGTATCTCAACTCTTGCGGCGCATCTGCCGATAGGCGTAATAAGGTGACCGCCTGCCGTACGTACTTGAGGTCCACTCCATTCGGTCAGAACTTTCCTGAGGCACTTCGCTAAATCGTAGCTTATCACAGAGTAATCCGCACCGGTATCGATTAAAGCCGTGAGCTCTAGCCCATCAATTACCAACGGCAATTCTGAAGTTATCTTCTCATTACTGCACTTCTTTACCTGGAGACAGTCGTCATCGTCGTCACGCTGGTGTCGCAGTGGAGGATCTTCGTATTTCAAATCACCAGCGGCCTCGCCTCCACAGGTTGCCCACTTCAGTTTCCCGGGTTTGGACTAGGCGAACGATGCCTAGGTGCGTTTGGAAAGGAACGTGGGCTTGGCGAGCGCTGACGTAGAGGGGATGGTGACCGCGGTTGGTGACCGCGTTGACCGCAAATCCTCGAAGACCAGCTTGACGATATCGGCAAAACCGGTAAAGATGGCCAGCCTCTCCACAGTGGAAGCACAGGGGCCTACGTTCCGCATCTCGCCATACATCGCTTTTCCGAGGTCTTGTCTCTGTCGGAAGAGGTGCGCTGCGAGTTGCCTCTAGGATATGGCGCGGGCTACGTGTTGTCGGTGCGTAAGTACCAGGTGTCTCAATAGGCGCACAGTGAACAGCAGGCCGCCTGAGCACCTCAGAATAAGTTACCACGTGTCGTGTCGGTGGTGCATCCCTTTGCGGCTCCCGTATGGCCGGCCGAATTTCTTCTCAGACAACATCCGCAATGGACAGTTCCGGTGAAGCGGGTGGCTGCAGCTTGCGTAGTTCCTCCCTGACAACTGACCGGACGAGCTCCCGCAGAGTGTCAAGATTATCGACAACGTTTGCCGAGAAGACCCCTGCAGATGTACAGGCTACGTCACGATTGTATTGCCGGGCTCTCTGCTGCAGCATCGTTTCTATTGTTGTTGCTTCCGACCGAAACTCAGCAACAGTGCGCGGCGGATTGCGAACGAGTACCGCGAACAGCTCTTGTTTTACAGCATGCATGAGATGACGCACCTTCTTGTCTTCAGTCATGTAGGGATCAGCTCGCTTGAACAGGCGGGACATGTCTTCTATGTACATAGCGACAGTCTCATTTGTGCGTTGATTCCGTGCACGAAGAGCTGCTTCTGCCTTTTCCCGGCGATCATTGTTGCCAAACGTACACAGTAGCTGCCGCCGGAACTCTTCCCAGGACGTCAAATATGCGTCGTGGTTTTCATACCACAATCGCGCTGCGTCTTCCAAAGAGACGTGTACGTTGCCCAAGTTGCCTGCTTCGTTCCATTGGTTTATGTTCGCCACCCTCTCGAAATGATCCAGCCAGTC